AGGAGGCTTTTGCCCTCCTTCACAGACTCCTGTCTTGTCAAACCAAGACACACACTTTTAATCAATTTGTAAATATATTTTCCACTCTTATTAGACCTCAGATGCAATGTGTGGGTGTATGTGTAGTCACAGAATTACAACATTTCATTCAGGAAACTTTCAAGAATGTGGCAAAGATTTCCTCTTGCTTTTGCAGTTTGGAATCATGGAACTTTTTATATGGGATTTATCAAAACAATGTAATGGTCTTAGAAATTTTAGTTTTGTTTTAAAAAATAACTTTGTCATTCAAGAGTATAATTAAAAAATCAGTAGGACTTCCCTAAATACTTTACCCACTCTGAAAACCTGTTTTACTTTTAGAAACAGTGAGGGGATTGTATGAATTTTTTACTCCAACCCACCTTCGTGGCTTTGGTACTACAGATAAGGAACTCCAAATTAGTTTCCTGAATGCCACTTTTTCAAAGAAGCCCAAGACCTGAATTGCCAGGATTCAAAGCAAGGCAGATCCAATGGTCTTTTAAAATAAAGTACTCCTGACATCAGATATCTATGTTGTTTATGATAATATGATGGCTAAAATTTGTGGCTAAAATTTGATTTCCTTATTTTTGACACCAAAGAGCAAAGAGTCATTTGCCAATATGTAAACTATTTCCACTAGTGTCTTTCCTATCCACTGTTTTATCAACTTTACAGAACTTTCCTGTCTTAAAGGGAAATATCTTTATCCTGATTAGGGTAGATTTTGAGGAGATTTATGGGAAATCTTTTGAAAACTCATTGATTAGGAGTGAAGCTCCAGACTTTTGAAATATATCCTTTTTATCTCTTACTTTTGGCTTTAGGAAATAGCTGAATTAATATGAGTGACATGACCAGAGAGAATGCCATGTAAATGAAGAGCTCTTTAATCCAACAGATTATGCTGGTGTGTCTTCCACTATTTCAAGTCTTAAAAGATAGGATAAAAAGATAGGATATCCTTCTCAGAAGAAATGAAAATGCATGACCTTTCTTATAAAGCTGCTGATGATATGCTTTGGCTTTGAAACTCATGAGTCTCTGAGATTCTTGTTCACAGGAAACAGCACTTAAAAGTGTGACTGATATCCACAGATTTTGAGCCATCTGTGCATGTTGCTTTCTAAAAGCCCTTTCTTCACAGCTATTATGTGGGAACTAATCAAACATCTATGGCTTATCACAGACTTGCTAGGGTAATCAGCAAGAAAAGATAAATAAAAAGAAATAAAAAGATACAATGGGAAACATTATGCCAGTTAGGAGACAGAAAGAAATAACACATTTATTAATTTGGCATAACTGCTGTTACTTGAAGATATAGGCAATATTATATTCCCGATAGTTATCCTTCTGAGTTACATCTCCCTAAAGTTAGTGCTGGTCTCCTAAAGTGATGCTGGCTTCCTTAAATGAAAGTCTTTGGGTCAGACTTGCCACCAGCCAGAGATTAGTTATTGATGGGATTATGTATCATGTGATTTACAACAAATGCAGAGAATAAGGTAATAGCATATCTGTAAGGATAAAAAAAAGATATGGTGGCAATGGTAAAAAAATAATTGCCTTTAATTACTGAAATATTATGTTACCTGGGACCCCTGTGGCTTAGAAACACCCTTAAAAAGAGCTGAACAAAGAAATCCAGAGAAGAAAAAAAAAAGCAGAGATGCAAAAGTGTTGGTTAATTCTGTAAAAATCAAGACTGTTTTCTATTTGTTTGGGTGATAAAGTATCTTTTTTCTTAGTCGTTACTAAAAAGCTTTTAGCTGTTAGCTTTCATGTTAGTGGGTTGCCTAAAATATTTACAATTTACCTGGCTAGGCGTGTACTAAGACAGTAACTCTTTCCAGTCTTCCTTACAGATGCAGAAATTAGCTTATTTTCTTATTAAGTAACATCTTGGAACATTCTTGGAACTGTGTTGAAAATAATATTTCATGTAATCCACCAAGAAAACTGAATTGGCCTTTCCATTCCTCCACTTTATTAGTAGTTTTTGTGGAGAGGTAGACACTCAGAGTTCATTAAATTATACATTCCATATAAGGCAATAAAATAATTTGATATTGTCAGAAGAACTTCATCTACCTCTGTTAATGCTTGATTTATTGGATGAAACTGCAAGAAAGTATCTTAAGTTAATTATTAGCCAAATGTAGAAAAAGGTCAAAGTTCTGTGTACATCAAGGAACAGAAACACTTTCATGTTAATTTTTCCTAGACCGCAATACAGATATCCACTTGTTACCTTAATACAGATGTGATATATTATAATTTGAAAATGAAAAGAAAATATAATTCTGAAGGCATTCTCCACATTTTATACATCTATAGGGAATCTTCTAGCTGTAGTCAGATTTATTAACATGTTTCTGGGATATTAATTCTTGAAAAGAATCAGCAAGACCCTTATTCTTCTCTCCTTGTGACTTCTGTGCTTTGCAGGATTGCACAACAGTTTCCATAATCATTAGGAGAAAAATGAGGTACAGCATGGTATTCCTGGGAGCAGTATTAGAAGAATGAAAATGCATGTTTCTTTGCATTTTTATTCAGAATAATTACAGTTCAAACACTGCAACTGTTCTATTCCCATATAAGACTATCTAGAGTGGGCTGCTCAAAACCTGTTATTGGACAATAAAGGAAACAAGACAGATTAGGACATCCACAACACAGCTCAATGGAGTTCCTTTACATATTTGGCTCAGTGGGTCGCAGTCCAGACTGCAAAGGCAGGACCAAAAGAACTGCAGGTCTATAGGTTAAGATTTTTAAATACAAGTAGAATTGAAATACAAGATTTTAAAAAACGCAAATAGAATCTGTAAGCGTCCAGAGATTGCCCAGAATTTCTAGGTGATTTTCATCTGCCAAAAGTGTGAAAATGCAGTGGAACCGCAGTGCAGGTACAAGAGAGGGGGCAGCTAAATGCTCACTCAGAGGTGAGAGGCAGGCTGCGGGGGCTGCCCATGGCAGGCAGCTCTCTCCAGCACTGCAGCACCCTCCTCCTCCTCAAGTGCCCCCACCAGGGCAGCACCAGGGGCTGTGCTCCCTGCATTGAGCCCTGCCCTTCCCTTCCTCTGTCTCCTCTCTTCCTCACTGGCAGATTGTGTCACTTGCATCAGATGGCTTGAACCCAGCTATGAATGAGAGGGGTTATTTGCTGGTGGACAGATGAAATGAGAAGGGAAACCCAAAACTTTCAATTTGCCATGTAATTTCTTCTTACACGGATATGCTGCCCACTCTTTTCCTTTTGTCTCAAGTGGCTTCCTCCATGAACATTTAATAACAGTGAAAGCTCTCCTAGGAGACCAGAAAATATGCATTTAAGAGGTTCATGGAAACAGCATGTACATATAGGATTTCACTGCCATTGTTCAATTTGCATTGTTCAGGACATTAATTTAATTGCAGAGGCTTCAATACAGTTGGGGAAAAAACCCCCTCTCTCTAAATTAAATTAGCTGATAGCAAGACCATGCAATGTGTCACAAATGGAATTGCATTTTGTTTACATTCAACCAAATGAACATTTAGATCTCTGAAAATTAAGAGGTGTTTTATTCAACACATCACCAATTTAAGCCTTAATAATGGTATTTTGATTATGTTTATTGAATTCAGGTTTGGATGAATGATAATATGACCAAAATATTTGACAATCGCATTTACCTGAGAACAAAAATCAGTCTTAAATTATGTTTACATTTATTCCTCTATAAAAATATTATTTTAATTAAACAGACATATCAATTTGTTGTTGTATAAAATAATTTTTGCTATTGAGCCCAAGATAAAAATTGGCTGATTGCAACATTAGAGTTTTCATCATTTCTACACATCCTTATGAAAGTGAGTTGAGATGTGAATAGTTCCTGTTGAGCGGCACTGCACAGGAGGCAGTTCTAGTTTGGATCCCCCATTAGCACTATTAAACCATGTAAAATGGGACAAATTTGTCTTCAAAGACAGTGTTGGCACCCTGAGAGCAGATTTGGGACTGCAGGCTCTCCCTAGACTTTGTCACTCTGTAGGTCCTGGCTGCCCCAGCCCAGCCTGACTCTGGAGGAGCCAGCCCCATCCACTGCACCCCCTTGCCCACCTGTATCGGTTCCTCTCCAGTGGATTTACCTGAAAGCCATAGTAACCTGGGAACTGAGCAAACGACTGATTTTAGATATGCTGCTCAAGATGTTGTGGATGTGTGACTAAATTAAAAGGCTCCAGGCAGACATGAAAAGTTGATGCTGGGCTGGAGGCACTGGAATGATCCTGCCAGTGGGAGGGATGCTGGGAAGGCATACATCTGTGTTAGTTTGTTGTGACACATGCTATTTACAAGTAGGGGAAAAGAGGGAACGAAACTTATTTTAAGGATTACAATAATTTGTAATAACAATAATAATTTGTAGTAATAATTTGTGTTGTGAAACTTCCAAAGAAGAAAGGTTGTGCCTGGCCCTTATTTGCTTGGGTTGCCTGGGCTGCTGAATGGCTAGCCAGGTCCTTGAACAATGTTTTATTTTGAAATTCTGAACAGTTGCACATAAAGAAACAGCCATCTGATATTGGTGGAAGATCACAGTGCTTTCATCCAAAGAGTAAGTAAAACTGAAGTCACCAATCCAAATGGAAAGTCTTGGAGAATTAGTTCTGTTGAAACTTTCTGAAGGTTTTATACCTGTTGCTGAGTATCAAATGTTTGGGATGACAACAACCAAGGGCTAAGAGACTGAAACATTTCTTTATTTTTTCATTTTGTTTGCATCAGGCAGTGTCAGGGTAGTGTCCATTCCACCAGGTCCCCTGTTCAGTTACTTACACTCTCCAATCAAAACCACATCTGACTGCATAACTATGAGTAGTTCCTTTAGTACATCCACATGCCTTGGCAAACCAGAGATTTTCTACAGGTACAGAGTAATTATTCACAGACTGACGTAAAAACCAGCAATCAGAATACCTTTTACAAATTGCAAGGGACTTCGGTTTATTTGTAATCAAAGCCTCATTTTGCTGGATCAATTTTTTTAACATAGTTACAGCAGCTTCATCTGACAAAACTTCAGTAAAATTAATTACTAATCCTCAAATCATTAAAACCAGATGTCATACAGTAGGACAAGAACAGAAGTGACACATGAGACAAGTCCAACATAAGATTTTGGATGAATGTATCAGTTGAGATTAATAGTGAGAAGTAACACTGGCTAACACCACTTCAAGTGCAACTTTCTAAGTAAGTGATTTTTGTTTCCCAACTCAAATGGAAAACAAAAGTCAGAACAAAAATCAATTCAAATCTAACAAAACCATGGATTTTATGGGCAATAGAACATCCTGGTTTTGAGTATTTAAATGTTTCTGAATTTAGTCATGCAATAAATTTAGTCATGCAATGCCCTGTCAAAAAATATTAGGCAAATTGTTTCATTTCAACTTTCATTTTTTGTCATTTTTTTTAAGCTGAAAAGATCTAAGGAAGCATCCACTTTATTGTGCTTACTTATAAAGTGTTCTGATGAAATCCAAATGTTAATAAATATTTTCTGGACATGATTTTTGTTACTGCAAGGGCTCTATTTAGCTTTTTCACAAAGATTCTTTTATGAGGTCAGCCAGTCTCTTGAAGGCCTGCAATAAAAAATATGGGTCACATTTATATTTCAGCATTACATGAATAAGGAACACATGAAACCTGTAAAGCTCCTAAAATTGTCCTAACCATATAGAATCAATATTTTATAATGTAAAGTTCTGCTGGTATTCTCTCTTTTCCTTTTATAAAATCATGTATGGGCTTTGACTGCACAAAGCTTCTGATTCTCTGCTAGAAAATAAAAGGCAGAGATTTCTGAAACAGAAAAATGTATATCTTGATGTTCAAAGGTTATTTGGAGTTCAGATGTAACTTTTAATAAACTAGTGATCCCTGAAAGAGTATCTCTTTTAACTTAATATTACTGCCCGGGGACTCCAAAAGTGAAAAAAAGGAAGAACAGTTGAGTGGGGAAGCATATAAAAATACAGCTTGACTGTCAATAGTATGGTTATTAATTAATTTAACAAAGAAAAAGGAAAAAATAGAAAAAATACAGAAGAACTAAAAGGGCAATAGAAGCACTTATCTGTTATAAGCCTTCACAACTGCATAAAAGTACAACTACAAATACTGAACTGTTTCAAGCACCCCAATCAAATCAGTATTAAATCTGCACAAATAAATGTCTCCTATCTTTTCTCCCATTGATTATATCGATAGAGCCAAATAACATCAAAAATGCACCTAAAATACATAAAAGATTAGTTCCTGATAATAATATCAGGAACAATATTAAATAAATAAAATAATAAAAAAATAAATAAAGCATGCATGTTAATTGTATGAAGGAAAACAATAGTCTTTCTTACAAAGAATTAGCAACACACACAAAAAAAAGAACACAAGTAATTCAATCTCAGAATCTCGGGAATCCAAAGTCTGAAAGATACATGATACCTGCTAATGCTTAAGCAAATACTCTGGCTTCAGTAAAGCATTTATAAATAATGTCTGGGAGGTTTAAGTGTGAGACACTGTATGTATCAGATACATAGAAAAATTCTAAGTAGTCCTAAAAATTTATTATCTTGCAGATAATTTGGATGAGTATCTTGCTTAAGGAACAGCTAACACTGCTGTGAAAGTACTGCTCAATCACTACAGACTGAAGCCTCTAACATTCAAGAAAAAATATAAGGAGAAGGATGTTAAAATAAAGGAGCATTCTCACTGTGTGAGAAACTGTCTTGATAAGAATGTAAAAAAAAGAATATCTCACCAGATCCATCTGGGCAGGAGAAGGCAGAGAGAAGGAGGCTCTGACATAAGAACTAGGCTCTGAACTATCAATATTGAATGCTCCTCCAGGAACCAGTAATACCTACAAAAAAGTGAATAACCACACAGTTATTACCACATTTTTAAAACACTATGTTAAATTAAATTTGAGAAAACTTAGTGCTTACACTCTTATAAGTGTGAACATGGTGTAACGTATTCTTTTTTCCTGAATGAGACAACAAAAATATGCAATGTGTAACCAGATTTTTCATAATAAAACCAAAGGGTCTTTGGTTTTGGTTACCAGGTCTCGTTCATATCATCACAATGATTAGAAGCACCTAGAGTGCAGCTTACTCAGTGCTGGATTTGGAGAAATAAAACAAAATTTAATTTCTCTCATTAAAAAAAAATTGGTCAACAGCCACCATATAGGTATATATGTGTTATAGATATATGTCATATACAATGACATATTGTACCATATGTTATATTGGTTTCAATTTGAGTAAACTGATAAAATACCAACATTTGAATAGAGTTGTGAAAATATTTTGCTAATCAGTAACTATGCCATAGCGCCTGACTTGCAGACTTAATAATGGTGCACAGCAAGTCCCCCTGCTTTTTTATATGTTCACATGTGGATAGATACAGATATTTTATCCCTCCCTGTTTTTATTTTAAGATCATAAGGCGTTAGATCACATGTCATACTTCTTTCTTCAAAGCCTTTTCCATTATCAGCTGCTGTGTATCAGAAATGCCCTTTATTTTGATCCATAAGAACATGCCAGCAGCAGGAGGGTACCATTCTGCCAAATCTAGAGAAAGAGAGAGAGAGAGAGAGAAAATGGAATCAAGCAAGAAACTTATGCCCCACTTCTAATGGAAACATCACAGATTCATTGATGTTTTAGATTTGCTGATACAAACATTATTATTACTATAGTGATTTTTTGTATTTTCTTTTAAATTAAGGTCACTATTTCAGAGATTTTTTAAAGACAGAGATTTTAAACACTGAAAGTATAAGAACATAACTAAGTGAAACATAGGCTCTTTGTAAAATTGCTTTAAATAGTAATGTGGTGAGCTTTTTCTCATCACCATCTATCTCCCTGTCCTACCAGAAAGCATAAGAATGCAGCAACAGAGAATTTGTCCTAAGCTTAATATTTAATGCAATGGATTTGCTTATAGTGCTTATCTGTCACTTCATTCAAGAGATGAACTTAAGTGATTTTTACTGAGCACAAAGATGATAAATAGCTGGCAAAAAAAGTGATTATTTGCGCTGCACTCTGACCTTTTAACCACTTGTCAGCAGCAGTGAGCATTGCATTCCTCTGGATCCTGTAGAAGTCCACCACTCTGAAAGTAAATTATCAATTGAAAGTCATGAACTCATATCCTTTCAGAGTCTATTTGTTTCTGAAGGCAGAAACAAAGCCTTTCTACTTGAACAACTCAAGTGCACGTTTAATAGAAATACAAGAATATCCTAGATGGGCATAACACAGTATACTGTGTGTATAAATACTTGTATACATAGCCAAGAAATCATTACTGCTTCACTGCATCTCCAACAGAGCACTGATCAATCAGAGAGAGGAAGTCCCTTTGTGGCTGCTTCTTCAGCTTTACACATATCATAGAAACCTTTTACATATTACATAAATTCTATTATGGCAGTGGATATAAGTCCTGTTAATAGTATTTACTGCACAAAGCACACACACTGAAGAAAATTAGGGACTTGAATATATGCAAAAGCACAGACTTAATATCTGTGCATTTGGGTTGAATTTGTGTAACAGGTACACATGGAAATAACATTTGACAAGGTAAAAACCAAATCATATGATAAACCTGTCACAACTATTTGACAGCTTCCCCTTTCCTAAGCATTTGAACCTATTTCCTTCATAGCGCAAGTAAAACTTTCAAATAATTTAATCTCTTCTTGGGGAAAAAAGACCCTAACCCAAGTTTCACCATGGACAAATCATGTGCAGTGGATTTTGTCAGCATAAAATGACACAGCTGTGCAATGGAAGACACAAGAGAAATGCCTGCTACTGAGTTCATAATTCAAATGCAAATGTGTTCCCATGTCTTGAGAAAACATCCTTAGTAATTTGCATAATTTACATAATTTTACATTTGTATTTTCAAAAATACTTTCTGAACCAATAGTTTTGATTTCTGGATGTATTTTATTACATCTGACACACAAACAGCAAAACCTACAGATACTTAAACAGTTTTGGGGCTCAGCTATATCTATTGCTACATTCTATATGAAAGAGTAAATCTACTTTGTGCAGTTTTTTGCTAAAATTGCAAATCCTGTTACCATTTTAATTATTACATGCTGAAATCATAATGATTACTAAGATGAAACCCAAAAATGTAACTACTCCAAAAAAAAACCAGTCAATCTTCTACTCCAAAGCCTGATCTAACACCTCACCCTTGTACAAATGAAATCAGCTGGAAGAGACTGTGGTCAGCTGTGGGGCCTCATCAGTAAGGTTATAAAGCATTGCAGCTGCCCCACTGCAACCCTATTTTCATTAGTTTAAGTGGAAGAATGGTCTTCAGGCTTGATAAGACTGCCTTTTGACCTACAAGAAAGAGGTAAGTGAAGAAATACACTTGGGATTTATTTTTTGGGATCTGCTGGAAGTTGAGCTGAAGTGTGGTCCAAGTCCCTCTGTGAGATTTTTCTTTATATTCCTAAATCTTAAAACAAAGCAATGTTAAAGCTGGTGTGTCTGGTTTAGTTTTTTTTCAAAAATTGCTGTTTACAGTATGAACATCAAGGGGACACAAGTGGCTGTTACAGTGAGATATAAGAACTTTTTGCATGTTTTGCTCATGTTGCTGTTACAGGCCTTTGCAGAGTGTAGCACACTCCTACTGATGTGAGAAATTTGGGGCTCTAATGATATCCAAGTAGAGCATATAAAATGATGCACTGACTGTCAAGAGAAACTGTGCTCCTCCTGCATAATAAATGAAAACTAAATGTGTGTCAGTCAGTATGCAAGAAATGTCTTGTGAGTTAGATGGTAGCCCAGTGCTCTCTCTCTCTCTCAGTGAGAGGCATTGTTCAGGCAATGTTTAGTGTGTAGATGAACTTCCTGTTTTTTCATCAGTATTCACAATCAGGAGATCAAGGATGGCAAAAGTGTAAAGTCATGCTAACTTAGTGAATTCCCTTTATAAAGGCTATGCTGCCTCTTTCTCAATAGATTTTGTGCTCAGAGATCACAGCTTTTGCTACAGACCCTAACCCTTTAGCAGGGATCTAAACTTTATTCACTGGCTTGAAGCTTCCAGGAACCTCTGAAGTTCCCTTCAGGTGGGAGCTGCATGCAATCTGTGCCAATGGACTGGCAGATTATCTGCCTGGAGGGGTAGGTGACATGCCCTGACCTGTTTGTCTACAACTTCACACTGTGTCTCTTTAGAGCTCTTGTGTGAATCCAACAGTCTTGGTGATCTGTCTGACCTACTTGGCCTAATACTGGCGCACCTCCTCTGACTTGTTTACTACTACTTGATGTAGGTAACAAGTAGCAGAATGACAGATGATGGGATTCAGCATAGGACATAACCCTACCTGTCTACATGTTCCAAGAAACCCTTTTGTCCCCATTGCTGAAGCAGCTGTGATACCATAATCTAAAGAAATAAAACACATCATCAGTACCATGTTTTAAAACCACAATCATCAAAAGATTCATAGCCAGATGCACTATTCAACATTCCCCAGACATGAAATTGCATGCAGTGTCTTTTGGAGCCCTTTATAAACAGAGGTGCCATGGTTATTACAGTCCATGGTACTAGTGTCTCCAAGGATCATGGCAGTTTTTGGAAGTGGGGATGGGGGGAGGGAAAAATGGGTGAAGAGCTAAATATGATAACTGGAGAGAAAGAGGAAGGCAATGTATATTGCTTTACCTTCCTGTCCACATTGGCCTCTCCGCTTTAACAGTGGTGAACTAATGGAGCTGGAAGACGGAAGCCGTATTTAGAGGTGTTCAGTGTCTCCTTTCCTTATTACTAAACATAAAGGGGCTGGAGCTGTCAGCTTGCTTTGAAATGTCTTTGTGGGCTGCCAGTATTGTTTTAATTGAAAAGTAGAATAAAAAATAATAAGTGAGTGTTTTTTCCATGCTGTGCTTTACATTGAAGTTGTAAAAAACCTATCAGGAAGAGATAAAATTTTTCAAAACTTGATTCTTGAAATCTGAGTGTTAAGGGATATTAGCTGTACTATCTGTGCCCTGAGACAACTCTCTAGCTCTGGTTCCGAGTTCTATGATAGTCTCTCTTCCTTTGGCAGAATTGACAATGAATGTCAACTTTTGCATAAACAAAACTGCAAAAGTGCAGAGCAACTGTGAAAGTACAAAGCTGTTTGCTTGTGGTATCTTATAACTTGGATACGTTGTCTTCTCTAAATACAATTAATTTGGTGGCTTGGTACTTGCCTGTGTGAAAGTGCTGGTGTGCATTGTTGACACCTGAATGTGTAGAACAACTCTGTCGATGAGAGGCTTGGGACCTGTCAGAAAACCTATTCTTAAACTGGAAACCAAACAAACATAAAGTTACTACAGAAATGCAATGTGCTAATACTCTGTCCAAGTTATATGCAGAAAAACATACAATGATTTTATTGATAGTGTAAGGATCTTATGCATTCAAATTCATCTATATCTTAATAGTGCCCTCAGGTTATACAATTTAGAAGCTGAATATCAAAGTAATGAAAAAAAAAAAACACTTAAGAGGTTTTAATGCTTATAGTAGCTTCTTAGTTATGAGGCTTTAGGACAAAATCTATGTTTGGAAGCTGTCCTCTGCAACCATAAAGATAACATGAATCAAATAGAAGGAAAGACAAGTTTTCCTGTAATAAAAGATCATGAATGCTTAGGCTTTATGACAAACAGATAAGTGGCAAATGGCTTTACTCTTTCTCTCCCTTTCAGTACTGCAGAAGGAATGATGGAATAAATGGTAAACTAGGTGGTTACTTATGCTTCAATTATTATCCATATTTACAGATTGGTTGAAGGTTTTATTTGAAGAAAAATGGAACCAGTAAACTCATGTGTGTCTTTGAAAAAGATAATACTGTGCTATGCCATTTTCTGAAAATGCAATTGCACTTAGTGTTATGTTGTCTTCTCACTTTCTTTAGGATGGGTTATAATCCACTGGCTACCAATGCAGAATTGATTCATTTTTCATATCCATTAGGTTAACAGACAAAAGCAAGGTAAAAATCAAATACATTGACTTGTGTGAAATGGAGAACAGCCAAGCTGGCTCTTTTTCTGGCAGGTGGAAACAACCTGGAAGATCTGGAAGGCTAGATTTCAGTACAACCCTATAAGCAGTTTGTGAATAATGATAGTTTCTTTTCTGTATTACAAGTTCAGGGAGCTTGCAGGAATACTAAGAGATAGATAAAAAGGGAAATGGAAAGGAGAAGAGAGAAAAGCTCCTAATAGTTTCAGGAAAAGAGCTGGAATCCAGCATCTGTTTTTCTGCCTAGACTGTGCCTGCAAGAATGGGCTTCCTGGGGGGAGAGGCTTCAGAATCTGCATCAGAAGAGAAACAGAACCTGGAGTAAAATGACTGCTGAGAGATGACCTGAGAAGTGAGTCGACTGTGAAAAGCCATTGATTCAGAAGTTCATTCCAGAAGTGGATAGTTAGTAAATGATAAAACACTATGACATGTCTCATGACTTCATTTGAAGTCTTGCATCTTAACTGAATAGGCAATACTAAGTGGTCTGCAGCTGGCCTTACCCAGATGAGAGAATTTTAGAGAAAGAGTCAGTCCTTATAACTCGGCCATCCACATCCATTGAGAGGAAAGTTGGAGCCCATGGCTTGGAATAAAAAATAAAAAATAGAATTCAAGGTGCTAGTAAGGATTATAATGGAATTATTTTTTTTACTAGGAAGACAATTCATTTCTCAAATGTATATTCCAAGGAAAACATTACAGTAACTTGCTGACAACTGATTGCTCAGCCTAGCTTTCTGAGATGTGATTACAATATTCTGTGAATGTCTTCAAGAAATCAGCTTTTGTTATTTTTTGATTATTACTTAGCCCACTGTTCAGCACACAAGTGTTCAGTTTAAGTATTGGTATGATGCTATAAGAAGGAGAGAGAAATAATGGTTTTTCTGCCAAGATTTCTTGTGGAGTAAAGAGGTACTGCAATTTCTAAAATGGAGCCTTGTAGCATTTTGCTTTGCTATATTAAAAAAAGAAATCGGAAAATATGACCAAATTGTGAAGATCTGAGTCCAGTGTACTTTTTCCTTACCAAGAATTCTGTTTTTACACCACCTCTCGTACATTTTCTTACAAAGCTTCACAATACTATGCAAAGGATAAGTGAGGCAGTTTTATTGCCTCCTTCCATAAAAACGTATTTCAAAATCTTCTACCAATGTTCTAGTGCTTTGTAAGATGTGTTTTGATTTCTGAAGTTAGGTACTTTTAAAGACTGACTAACTTTAGATTCACATATGAAATTTGCAGAAAATTTACAAGAAGGGAAGCTGTCTATCCAGTAGCACTCTATGTGGCACCTGGGAGAACTCCCAGTTTCTCCAAAAGGCAAAAGGATAAAAATGGGGTACGGTAGATGCAGAGTAGACTTCTGCTGAATGAAAGAAGAGACAGGGAGAAAGGAACATTAAGAGGCTGCAAATTTCAAGTGCTGCTTCAGTGACATACTTGCTTTGCTCTGAATGCAAATTCTTTGTCATTTTCTGATTACTGAAAAATTCTATCCTGTATGAGGCTTGAGAAATTTGAACCACTAATTAACAGGATATAAAATACCACAAAGGGGAAAATTACTGAAACAGTACAGATTGTGAGGCCTACAACTGCCTTGGTAGGACATGAAGAAGAGGCAGTAGTAAGGGCTCAAACTTCGTAAAACTTTAGTTTCTCCCCAGAAAAGGTGTTACTAAGGATTATGGAAGAAAAATTACCTTTTCAAATTGAAGAAAGTAGTAAGGATCATCTTCTATTATGAGAAAATCATATTTTCTTGCAAGCTAAATAAATTAATAAAAAGTAACAAAAGGAATAAAAGTTAAACACATGGCAAATTCAGTCAGGTGGTTTTTTTTTTTCAGCCAGCATCATATTATGGTTTCATTGATTGAACATTCATTATATAGAAGCCCCCATGATGAGAAGTCTTCAAGTGCCCAATTTAGATATCAAAAAATTGTAAGAGTAATCATAGTACCTGTAGTACACAGACCCTGGTATGCACCTGAAACTCTGTTCTATGTAGCATTCAAACTGTGCAGGCCACATACAATAAGCCCAGTTAGAAGCCCATGGCAAAGGTATCACCTGCCAATGGGTTACCATTGGAAAACAATTTACCTAAGGCATAGACTACCTCTGAAGAGCTGCTGTGATAGAGATTCTGCTAGAAACAAGTTCTGGGGGAGGAATGTCTACTGTACCAATAATGGGCCCAAATACCAAACATGGGATACCTTCAGCTGAAACAAGACTTGATATTTATCTATTTCCACCTACAAGGTTCACAAGAGCACAGCTCCATACCTGGTAAATCTCCTTTTTGCGCTCTGTGGTCAGTGAGTTGCCAGTTGGGTTGCATCCATTTGGAATAGTGTATAGGAATTTGGGGAGGTGATTGCTACAATTTTTTACATCCTCTGGGCTCCAAGCAGACAGAATTTCTTCTAAAGCTTTTGGAATAATGCCATGTTGGTCACTAGGAATATTAATTATATTACAACCCAAGGGTCTCAGCTGTTGATAGAAGGAACAAAACTGTCACAATTGTGTAATTCAAAGGTCTTCCTTTTGTCATTGCTCCGTAACATTTCATCAATACAAAGTCTTTCTTTTTGATTTTATAAATACCTCAAGCTCCATTTGCTCATGAGTCAAATAAAAGTTTGCCTTAATTTGCTGTAAGGCTTGTCAAACTTACCACATTGCTCTTTATCTGTTCTACTAAGTCAACTCGGAGAAAATGGCTAAGTCCTATGTTCAATTGCTGCTCTTCTCTAGGAAATCATATTTGGTTTTCAAAGCAGAAAGGGAGTTTGTAAATCTGAACTGTTCTCTCAGGACTTCCCATACTCTCACCACAGACAGTTAAGGTCACAGCACCTTTGTTTCCTACTGACAATTTATGCCCTCCTTTTGTGGAAAGTCAGAGCTTTAAGCTACTCTTCCCTGACAAAGGGCACAAAATCTGTTCTCTCAACAGATATATTCAGCAATACAAAGGAGAATGAAATTATGCTACTGCATTGACATGTTGACAGCAGTATGAAAAAATATAGGTAAAATACCAATGAAAAATCTTGCTGTCTCTCCTCTGTGGAATTTCAATTTGTACCATGTAGTGCTCTGCATTTTTAGGTAAAACTGCAAGCTGCTGCATTGTCAAAATACACTCCTTAAGAAGTACAGCTGATTAGACTATATATTCAAATTGAAGACAGTAAGTAATAACAATTTATTTTGATGCAAGGGGGAACAACTGAATTTGTGGTGTATTTATTCTAATCCTTCTTGCAGGTCTTATGTATTTTGAGCTGACATTTAATTTTATACTGATTAAACTACTTTTCAGAAGTAAGCTTTGCTTCTTTTGTATAGTTCTCACTAATTAATATCTTCGTAGTCGTATATGGGTGTTTCAGTATATATTCCAATATGATACTATTTATAGCTATTGTATACTCTGATTATGAAATACTTCAGGTAAACATGCTGATGTATTAACACACCCACTTGTTATAAATTTAATTTTTAAACCAAACTAGGTCCTGATGGCTTTCTTTCCAGTCCCATATGTGATCTTAACCCTTGAATGAACTAGTGTTTAGAAGAGGAACTTCAAATAGTTTTCATATAACTTTTAGTAGAAAACCTTCTATGAGTTAATATTTATGAACTTAACTGGTTGGACACTAAAATGAGTTGAGTGTTAGATATGTTTTTATGGCAAAAACAGACAGTGTTTATAAGACTGCAGAACAGGTACTGACTAGTGCCTAAACTGCTGTTTAGTTCAAATGTAACATTCACAATGTTTTGTAGCTAAGGAATAACTTACAGCTGCTAGTGTTCCTGCATATGTGGGTGCATCCAAAAGGATGTTGTCTCCAGGATTAATGAGCATTTCAAACACCTGCAACAGAAAAGATTCTGATTTAAAGATTGCTCAGTTTTTGGACATGTGCTTCATACTTTTGACTTCTTAGTGGGATTAAAAATCTTGATTAGATAGTAGTAATTCCCTAACCCTATAATTATCCTGTCTGTGAGAAAGGCAACAAACAGATGAAAAATCTGCTTTAGAGCCAAATTAAGATAGGTTACCAACTTGACATGGAAAGACTGTGTTCTGAAGCACCCTTTCTACTGTACAAGTTATAGAAATAAACAACTAAACAGCAGTGACAGTCGACTGGAGAAGGTAATTATTTCAGGAAGTAAAAACCCAAAAAATCAGGAAGTAAATACTAGAAGAAACATACATATTTAAAACAGAATTATGGTAAAGTATCTATGCACTTCTTATTGCACTACTTGAGTAACATGGTATGTTACCTTATAGCGTTTTTCCTACACAGGCTCTTTGGTTACCTGAACTTTCATGCAGTCCTGACAGTCTAGAATGCCACTCCAATTTTACTTAATTTCCTTTATCTTCTACATGAACCTAGAGTAATTAATATCTATGGAGAAAGAGTACATGGAGCTGTACCATGCACATAGTTATAGAGGGCACTTAATGCTGAATACAACTGAACTGATGGAAGAATAAACATCTATCTGAATGAAATGCTTCTAACACGTGAATCTTTTGGTCTTACTTTAGACAAGCCTTCTTGGCTGCCAGTTGTGACACACACTTCCATCCGTCCTTGCTCAGGACTGTAATTGGCTGTGGGAGGATCATGCAAGTTCTGCTGGAAATCTTTTAGCCAAGACAACAATTCTGGAATCCTGAAATGTGAATAAGAAGGCATATCTAAGACCTTATAAAGGCCAAAGCTAGCCTATTCCTCTAAATCCCTGCCAAATCCAGCATGCAGTCCTGAGTTTGATTGCAACTGTCACACAGAGACACTTAGACGCAATTGCTATGACTGCTTTATGAAATTAAGAAAATGAGATGAGCACCTGTGGTCCATACCAAGTTATCACAGTGAAATCTGGGCAGAAATTATTTGCCAAGGACGAAACAGGGTGGAGGCTGAACAATACTCACTCCCAGAAATTATCATTCTGTACTCAAACGTGGCAGTATGACAAAGTTCTTAATGCTGCTTGTAACCTGCTGCAGATTACAATTTCTAAAACATGTTTTCTAGAAAATGTCTCAAGATCTTGTAGGATGTTCACAAATGGCTGGTTCATTTATATATTAAGAAAAGTTTTAACTGATGCCCCATGTGTCTCTGTAGGTACCCAAGTATTTTTGCAAACCTGTCCTCACCTGACTCAGTGCTGTCTGCTGAGAAGTTTACATGAGCACTAAAGCAATATAATGATATACAATTTTTGTACCAAAAATGACAATTCTATAAATACCTCCTCTCAACTACCACAAGTTTTATATACTGACTTTAGTATATGGTGCCAAATGAAAAGAAATACTCCAAAAAAACCTCCAAAACTATGTGTTGTAATGCAGTATCTTTTAAATAATATCTGTTTTGGGTGTCTGGATTTTCAAATACTAATAGCCAGGAAATACTCTGTCTTAAGAAATACTAGGATTAGGGTTTTAAGTGATTTAAGTGTTTTTTTTTTTTCTTTTTACATAACCCATTGCAAAATTTTCCACTGGAACTCAAATGTAAATAGTGAGGCAAATTGAAAAAAAAAAAAAAAACATGGGTTTTAGGAAGAACCTATTCCTATTTTTGGAAAAAAAAGGCTTTATGAACAGGTTTTAAAAACACAGGTGACTTAATGCAATAAAGGGCATAATGACCCTTAGCTTCTGGTGTCTTGAAGTGCAGGCAGCTGTGACAGATACCCTGCTGAGGCTGAGTACTGGAGAGCTCTCTTCATCAGATCCTCCCCAATCTCAATAGGTGTTCCATGTCCAATGTCAACAGTTGCCCTCTTAAACGGAAAAAGATTAGGATTTGGTGCCCCTCCAGCCAGAGAGATGAGAGATGGAGGAGACTTCTGCATCAATTCAGCTAGAGTAAAAGGAAAACACTTTGGTTACTATTTTATTATTATAATGGTAGTCATATCCTTTAATCAATATTTAGTAATGGCCCAGAAAACTTGTTCTATTTTTCAATTTACTTGTTTAGCTATCATGAATTAAAAAGGATAACTCTTCTTGAACTCAGTTTTCTGCTTGGATTAAATAGGTGTTTGAGGGCCCCAGGAAGGAGATACTCTTAGGTCTGACTAAAAAAATAATTTTAAGTTAAAAAAGCTATTTTTAACTTATTTTGGACCAATCTGGACAGTTCTATATAAAAACTGTCATGACTGATGTCTTTTGAGTTTCAAGAATTTAAAATCTAAATGATAGTCTGTTTAGACTGACTTGAATGGCTTTGTTTTTTGTTCTGTTTTTCATTCAGTTTCACTTCAGCTGATCTGGCAGCTATACTGACAGATGATTATAGCTTTTCTATAATGGAATGGAAATGTTTCTGGCAGCCCAGTTTTAGTGGCAAAGGCACTGTGTAAGTAATTTGCTATGAAGAAAATCTTAATTCCTGCGTTTAAGTCACAGTTTCACAATCATTCAGATCCAATCTATGTAATGCAGACCAGACCTTAATCCAGCAAGGGCACTTGATTGCATTAAATCTAAGAACTCGCAATGTGGCATTCATGCTGTCTTGGCAGTTTTACATCAGATATGAGAGGACAGATGACACCAGATCTGGCTTAAAAGTGGCCTGTTACCAAGTTTATTTTCCAGTATTATTAGCAGACCTGAACATGGGGAGTTAATTCTTATCAGTTATTTCACCGATTTGTGTTATGCCTGTGACTTTTGGCCTGGTAAAGAGAGATTTACTTTGTCATCAAAACTGTAGGCTCAGGATATCTTTCTACAGGAACTGTGCTGCTCAGTACTTTTGCTATGATGTATATTAACGTATCACTTGAAAAAGAGCCTGCCTAGAGTGAATTGCATGACTGAGCTGTACCTGTATGAAGTATTTTAAGCAGTACAGCAAATGCCAGCCCCTTACCAAGAGGGGAAATTGGCCCCTGAAGGCTTAACTAGTGATGTATGTCTCATGCTTGGATTCTGTCAGGTCTCTGTGGGTTTCAGCTGAGTAAACAAGTAGGCAGTTAAGCTTCTCCATCTGTCACATGGAAGACAATGTAATGCTGTAGCCTAAAGATAGATTAATATGGAAAAGGAAAGTGCAGTAATACTGAGAGAGTGGGGGTGCTGAGGCATTTATGGATGTGAACAGGATACTGGAAAATGAGGTGGAAATAAACATGCTGGGACTGAATTTCAAGTCAATTAGCAGTTGCTTGCTCCTGGACACACAACATAAACTCAGTTGCAAACAGCATCAAAAGCCTGGGTTCAGAGACAGTGGCAGAAGCTTTTCATACACTTGTTAAAGTGGTAATACTAATTTGTTTGTCTGGATGGGTTTCTGAAATGGTTCAAGGCTATTCACTTTATTTTTCTTTATACCTGCTTGGCATCTCTGCTTGACCAAAGTCACGTTGCTTTGTCAGCTTACAGCTTGGTTTTCTTTCACACCTTTTAAAGTCTTAAGCCATGATACTCCAGCACAGATCAGAACACAGAATGATTCTTTCAGAGAAACTGGGAAGAAGGGATATGTACTCACTCAGCAGTCTTATTGGAGATGCTTTTCTTGCTGCACTCACAGTGGTGATGAACCTAGAGTAATTCATATCTATGGAGAAAGAATAATTAGTTGGACATGAAGCTAGAAAAGGGAATAAGATCGGCAATGTGCTTTTAGCATGTGCATCTCCCACAAGTAATGCTTTTGATCTGGGTAATTTGTAGTATGCCAGTGAGCAGGAAAAACCCCCTTTACTGCAGGCTCTGGAGTTTTAATAGCAAATTACAAATCCGAAGATCTGATGGAAGTTAAACTACCATCAGCTCTTTTTATTTAATGGGAGTCCAGCTTTATTTAGCTGCATTAAGCGCTGCATTTGAAGTGCTTTTAGGATTGCAAGCTATCATTATAAGCTGCAACCCTCGTCAAGTTAGAAGTGTTTTTTTTTGCAAAGGATCATTATGAATGTCTTTCAAATACATCTGATGAGTGTTTTCCTCCTTTTCCCTGGTGCCCATAGAGTTCACTATCCAGCGGCTAGTGAACTACAGTCCAGCAGGAAGCACGAAGGCCCGGAGAGGCCAGAAGAAGGCATCTCCTTCGAAAGGAAAGCAAGCAGAGAAATTAAACAGAAGGGCAGAGCAGCGACGGCAACACGCACATGCCGGCAGGTATCGGAAACGATCTAGCGATCACGAACGCTTTGGAAAAACCCATCTCGTGCTCCTAAGAATACCTCCCTTAACTTCGCTGCCCCAGCGGCGCGGGCGCGGAGCTGCTGCGCACAGGGGCGGGCTGGAGCGGGCAGTGCCGGCCCCGCGGTGGGCGGGCGTGTGCTGGGCCGGCCCGCCGTGGGTGTGTGTGTGTGTGATCGGGTTCGGCCCCGCCGTGGGTGTGTGTGTGTGTGAGATCGGGTTCGGACCCGCCGTGGGCGCGTGTGGCCCGAGCCGGCCCGGACCACACGCGCCCTGGCCGGCGCTGCGGGAAAACGGAGAATCACAGAATGGTTTTCGGGGTGGGGCATCCAGAACTTCTCTGGGAAACCTGCGGCGGTGTCTCATCACCCTCACAGTTAAGAATTTCTTCTTATTATCCGGTCTAAACCTACTCTTTCTGAATTTGAAGCCATTCCCACCATTGGACACTACACCCAGCCATTGGCAGGTGTCAAAAGTCCCACTCCAGCACTCTTGTAGTCCCCTTGAGTACTGGAAGGTGCTGTAGGGCGTCCCTGAATTCTTCAGTTGAATGACCCCAATTCTTTCAGACTGTCTTCATAGAAGAGGTTCTCCAGCCTTCATGCTACTCCTCTGCCCTTGCTCCAACAAGTCATAATCTTTCCTGTGCTGGGGGCACTCTGGATGGGAGGTCTTGTAACGGTGGAGTGGAGGGGCAGAATCACCTCCCTCATAATGGTAATGGTCACACTTCAATCAACTTTATTATATTTCCACTAAAAGTTTTGCTCATAAAAGGAAGCAAAGTTTGATGTGTGATATCTGTAGGTTATTTTTTTCCCCCACAGATGAGTAGGGTTTCCACAGATGAGTGGAAGGGAAAGCAGGGGGGTGGTGTGACATGTCCCTCCTTGCTGGGCGTCACATGCTGTTGCTTGTGCAGCTCCTGTAATGGCAGTGTAGCTGCTGCTGCTGCTTAGAAAGGTGCAGAGACACAGTGTCATTTTCTAGTCATGGCTTTGGACTCCAGCACTCTGGGGTTGCCATGGCCCTTGCTCCTGAGTGAAAAATGCTATTAAGGGGTCTAGGTGTAAAGTAGTCTGAAACAAATCAGTGCAAGAACATGCAAAATCAGCTGTGCTTTGCAACATATAGGTCTTTGTAGTTAACTTGGAGGCAGGAGAGTAAAAATACTGGATGGGTTGAGCATTGGAGCATTTCTAGGCTCCAATGTATTTCTAGGCATTTAATTAAGGAAATCACCAGGCTTTACTGTGCACAGTGCTCAAAGTATGTTTTAATTGGAACCTTCCAAAACTTGCTGAAGGCAAAACTGAGGTATGAGAGCAAAATGTCTCTACAAAAGAGGTGCCTTATCAAGTTATCTTTTTTTCTCCCTGCTTCTTTAATTTGGGTGACTATGCAGTATTTGGATCTGCTGAAAGGCTTCATATTTAGATGGAATAGATTGAAATAGAAATGGAATTCTTGTCAAGTTTTGGATGCAGTCAGGAAAAATTGTTTTTTTGGTTGATGTGTGAATGCTCTTATGCTGAAAGTCAAATTTTGTTGACAGCTTTAATGATCTGAAGAATTTATAATTTAGGTAATTGCCTTCTAATTGTGTGATGTACAGACAAAAAGTAAAAGATGCGTATATAAATGTGAAATAGCAAATGGAGAGATATTGAATTTCTGTGGGGTTCTGGCTGTGAAAGACTGATTGAATTTGAACTGCTTTCTATGTAATTCTGTTTTTTCATTTCCTGGCTGTCAGTGTTGCAGATTGTGACACAGACCAAAGCCCAGAGAAGTCAAGGGACGGTTTTCCATTTTCCGTGGATTTTTGTGGGCTCTGTCTGGTCTCTTAGCCAATTATGGTGTCATTCTATTGAAATAAATTAAAAAAAAAAGAAAAAGGTGTACAATTGTTTGGATGTCTATCCCAGCTGGATTAATCTAGCAGTTCTCTGCATCACTGTTTATATTCCTTAGCAACCACAAGTTGAGTGCTCTGTTTTACTACTGTGTAGGAAGTCGTGTCTTTGCTGTCTTTATTACGTGCACATTTAGAACAGTAATGATTCGATGCAAGTCTTGCATAATTCACGAAGCATCGGCAAGGTTACATATGGTTGTTAATTTCTCCTGTCATCTGAAACTGTACTACCTCTTTCTAAACTTGCTATGTGCTCTATCCACTTATGTGTTAAAAAAACCCAAGCAAGCAGAACAAAAAAGCCAAAAGCAATTTGATTTAAGAAGAACAGGGAGATTAGGTAAATATTGTTACTTTGCTGTTTCCTTTTCCCCTAAAGATTTCAGAGTATTTCTTTTAAGAGGAGGACAAAGTGTATGGACAAAGTGTAACTCTGTCCAAGCGCTGCGCTCTAGCCTGGGATACTATACATTTGTTAGTTGTAGCATGTATTCTGTAATGCTTGGACAGTGCCCTGTTCGAAGCGATCACTTCCCGGGTTAAATGTGAGTGCGTGACAAGCCGGCGCTGTCTGCAGCGGCCCGAGCGGGGCGCCGAGCAGTTCCCGAGGCGTTGGGAGCCGCGATCCCAGCGGGATCGGGATCCGTGGCGGGGCCGGGCCGCACCGGCGCTCGGCGGCCGCACGGGGGCGCGGGCGCACCGCCTGTGCGGGCAGCGCCTCCCGCTCTGGGGCGGCAATTCCAGCTGGGATCACAGCGGCGTCTTTCATGTGGCTGTAATTTGTACCTGTGATTAAGGGTCCTGCCTGAACAGCTTGGCTGCCCGCGTCTTAGTGAACGGGTTAAATTGCTGCCGGTAATGCTTCTTGCGAGTTGAGGACGATGGAACTGGCAAGTGGTGCTGTCAAACTAGCCTTATGATGTGAAGGTGGGAATTTTATCGTGACGAATTGGAATGGCTGCCCATGAGAAAATCGCATAAGACCGGAAAATGGAGAAGTGTGAGATCAGCCATTTTAAACATTAGAAGTAATTGTTTCTGCCAAGGGCTGCCTTCCCCAGGAAAAATGCTGACTTTGGCAGCACCTTTATGTTTGCAGAACATCCCGTGTGCAGCAAGTCATCACTGGTGTACAGCGGCCACTGAGATCAGGGAGATCTCAGCAGTACAGAGCAGTTCGAATCTGGGATGTGAACATCCACTGACACAGTTACTGCAGAGATCAGAAATACCTGTTTTTTCTGTGGGAAGCTAAAACTGCTAGGAGTGTGTTGGCTCTGGAGACAATTAGTGGAAGAGATGTGAAGTTAGTAGTTCTTTCACTTGCAGATTACTGGAGCGATTTCCTGACTTCCATCTGTCTTTACTGTGAGCTCTTGGGAAAGTAACATTTCTGTTCTTCGTTTATGTCGAGCCTTTTTCAGTGGGGCCCTGATCTTGCTGGACCTAATCAGAGCTTCTGCAAAAGTAGAATGCTGTCATTTGTTCGTCTCCCACTCTAAGGCAACTGCATATTAAAACATGTTTGTGGTATCTTTTTCCAGGGTTTTAAAACTCGATGCATTCCTACAATGGGGGAGGGCTTAGAGAAGAGTGAAGATTGATTCTCAAACAGTAACAAATCCTGCTGCCTATCCGAATAAAATTAAGCAGTATCTTAGTCTCATCTGTATACTTGCTGACCATCTTGGCATTAGGAGGACATCCTAATGCGCTTTCTGCTGCTGTTTATGTTATTACACACACACATACCCTTTTCTCTTTTTTTTGGTAATAGCTAGCTCCTTATGCTTCAGAGACTGTCAGATGAAAATAACAGGACATCCATGATATTCATAATATTTGTAGCAGCTGTCAAATTATACTGTCTTAGAGTGGAAAACGTGTGGCTCTGCAGAGTGACAGCTGTGGCTTGTATATGTTTGAAGCAGCCCTCTCTGCCTGAAGAGTGGTGGCACCCAGACATATAGCAGCCTTACTCTGATTGACAACCATTTCTATTCTCCTTTCTTGGTTTTTTTTTTTTTTTGAGTGTACAAAGACTGTCATCATTGCTTCATCATTGCCTTTTTATCCAATCAAGCAAAGGGGACAGCACAGTATCTAGAACAAGTTTTCTAGATATTCTAAGAAGAACTATAGAAAAGCTGATTTTCACACTAATGTATTCCTCAAAAGCAGTTGCTTTTTCTAGAATGTGTTCCTTTGATAAGATGTCTAATACAGTGAGATGTTTGCCTTAGATGTTCATCAGACACTGCTGTGCTTAAAAAAAAAAAAAAAAAAAAAAAAAAAAAAAAAAAAAAAAA